CCCCTTTTTAAGTTTATTTATTTATTTCATGAGCATGAGAGACAAAGACAGAAAGAAAGAGCACTCCCAACGTGGTCTTGATGCTGAGATCCACCTCTGGTTTCAGCCAGCCCTGGATCACTAGCACACTCATGCCAGGCATATTCAGGAAGGTCTCCAGAGGCAAACGCAAAACCTTCCAGTGTGGGTTGGCCTCACAGAGTGTGGCGTTGTATTGCTTGGTCGCCATCTCTAAATATGTTTAAAAGCTTTCCAAAGGGCCAGTGGATCAAAGATTCAATATCTAGAAAACTTTGTTCAGCAACAAACATATATTTTCTTCTCCTGCTGCAATTAGTTTTTTAATTAAAAGCCATTTGTTGGGTAGTTAAAATCTTTCACATGTAGGGTCATGGGGGAAAAAGAAAATGATGAAAGTGGGCTTTATGCACAGATGCTTGAAACTCCTGGTTCATGTAGTCTACTTTCTGTTGTTGGGACTGGAGTGAAGAATCAGAAGACTAAAGCAAAGAACTGGGGGAAAAAGAAAACTTTTAGTTCTTTTTAACCCAACCAGGACAGGACCTTTTGCCAAATCCCACTTGACAGTCAGATGATGGAGCTAGCAGTGGGTGGAAAGTGGAATGGAAATAATGCTGAGAAAAACCAATCAACTTTGAAGATCAGTCAATAGTCTTCGCCAAAAGGCCCATATGAATTTCCTTTTTTTTCTTTTAAAGAATTATGTATTTATTTTTATTATTATTTTAAAATTTTCTGTAGGGCACATGTGCTCACCAGAGAGATACAGAGAGAAAGAAAAAAGAGTGAGAAAACAAGCTGCCAGGTCTGGGACTCCAATCGTGGTTGGCCATGTGGGGGTCTAGTGCCTTAACCACTTTGTCACCTGATGGCTCAACACACAAATTTCTATTTTCCTACATGGTAATTCCCCCCCCCCCCCCCACGACCCCAGGACTAGCCATATTTAACTTTCTATTCTGGACGAGGTATCTGAGGTGACAAAGTCATACATTTAAGCACCCTTGTTCTTCTCTGAAAGCAAATGAAAAGAACATGATCAGGCAGGCCAGGTGGCATGCAATGGTATAAGGTGTTTGGATCTCAAATGGCCAAGTGTGCAGTTCAAGTCCTGGACTTGGAAGTTTGGAAAATATGCTGGGTGAATGTGCATGCATGTCCCAAATCCCAAGAGAACGGAGGAGAAGGTATTGTGCTATGGCCAGGCTCCTTTGGGAGTAACTTCTCACTCCCTATCCCCTCTCTTGGTGAGCTTATGACTCTTATAACAAAACTAAAGAGCTCTTAGCTATTAAACAAAACAAAAACAAACACAAACAAAACAAAACCCACAAAGGAACACGATCATTTTGCCCTATGAAAAAAGTAGTTTCACAGGAAACTACTACTGAGATGAGTCACTCTGCTGTTCTATTTTGGCCCAGGGTGCATTTGTTTAATCCCTGGGATTTACCTGTCTCAGGATAATGAATTACCCCTTGCTCCAGTTCCAAGTCCCTTTCCCCTTTACTCCTACAGGGCACGTGAACTCAGCAAAGAGAAAGGGAAAGTGAGAAATCAGGGGGGATGCCATGCTGCCATCCCCTTCCCTCCAGTCTCCTCTAGAGATGCACATGGCATGATTCTCACTCAAGCCACCAGGTCTGGGACTTCAACTGTGGAGTCAGCCATATGGGAGCCAACGCCTTAAACTGCATGCTACCTGCTGGCCCCAGTTCCAACCCTATTTATCACAGTCCATAAACATCTGAGTTCACAGACACAACAGTAATTTATTTTCATCAATGACCTATTATTATTTAACGTTTTAACTCATAGTTCCCTTAAAGGCTCTTCTTAGATTTTTAAAATTTAAATATGTTTTCAACCATGTAATAGGATTTATACAATTACATGCAGATGAACATACTTCACAGGGCGGGGCCAGCAGTGGCATGGTGGATCAGGAGCTGAACTCCCACAAGACAGACCAAGGTTCCAGTGCAAGACCTTGGTGGCTTCCTTTCTCACTTTCCCTTTCTCGCTCTCTGTCTCTCTCTGGTCAAATTTTAAAATAATAATAAAATAAAATTAATATTTAAAAAAACAGAACATACTTAACAGAGTATTTCCCCTACTCCGATTGGTTATAACTTTAAATTGAGACAAATATAAATCCTCTGTCACTGTTCTACTATACATTACTTTCTCTTTGATATAAAAATATGTATTATATTTACATAACATGTAATATATATCATTTACAAAAAGAGCCAAAATGGGCATGTTTAACTTTGACAGTATAAAGATTGAAATACATGCTGCAGAAGGTAAGATTTTTCTCAGCAAACAATAATCAGAATAAAACAATATAATATAAATTTGAGTAGAAGAATTCCACCAAAAAAGTACCTATTAATTTGAAAGTAATCCTTATGATTTGTTTTATGATCAACTTTTTTTTATTGCCAGAGGGCACATATGCTTGCTAAAGAGCAAAAAGGAGAGAGAAACACCCCCCCCCAAGTGGGTTTTGGACATGCTGTAATTCTTTTCTTCCATTCCTGCATTTCATCAGGATTTTGGCACAATGACACACAAGCCCAGTGCTTTTCTTTTTCTGTTGCTAGGTAAAGAACTCAAACTGCTGGGACCAGCAGTTAGCGTAATGGCTATGTCGCTGGACTCCCATGTAGTCGACCACAGTTTGAGTCCCAGACCTGGTGGCTTAAACTCACACCAGGCACATGTGCATGCGTGCCCAAGATCCCGAGAGGAGAATGGAGGAGAAGGGACTGCAGCGTGACCATCCCCCATGGGGGCTGATTTCTTGCTTTCTGTCTCTCTGTCTGGCGAGCACACGCACCCTTATAGCAAAAATCTCTCTCACAAAAAAAAAATAAAAGAACTCAAACTGCAGCCAGCATGTGGGAATCCAGTGCCTTTAACCACCATACTACCTGCTGGCCCTATTTTTATTATTTTTTAATTTGCTATAGGGCATGTGTGCTTACCAAGGAGAGACAGAGACAGACAGAGAGAAAGAGAGATCCGGGACTTTGCCATGGTTGGCCATGTGAGAGTGCAGCACCTTCACCATGCCACCTGCTGGCCCCCAAACCCAGTATTTTTCAATCTGCCAGGACTGGGGTTCCAATCGGTTGGCCATGTGGGATCTGACTTCCTATGCATAGTACTTAACTGCTGCACAATGGGGTCAGCCCTGACCAAGTTTCAAACTATAATTTTTCATGGGATAAATAACAGAATTTATTTTTCAGAAGGTAGGAGATAATTATATCAGGAAGGTCTTTTAATGGTTTATCAGAATCAGGTACCTTGAACAGAGTAGGTACTTAATATTTAGCTACTCAATTAATAAAGTACTTTTTTTTTTTTTTTTTGCCATAGGTGCATGTGCTCACTTGAGAGAGAAAGTGAGTAATAACCCCAGGGGATGGCCACATTGCAACCCATCTCCTCCGTTCTCCTCTTGGGATTTTGAACATGGGTGCACACATAGCCAGCGTGATTTTTAAACCATCAAGCTTGGAACGTGAACTATGGTTAGTCATGTAGGAGTTTAGTACCTTAACCACCATGCCACCTGCTGGCCCCACTATGATTTTTTAATACCAATTTCTTCAACTAGTTGAGGTAGGTATTTTGTTTATTTGGAGTATCTATTTATAGTATAGTAATAAAGAATCTGTTTAATTTTAAAGTAAATATTCACTCAAAGAGATATATTGAAAGAAACAAATATGGGGGCTGGTGGGTGGTGTGGTGGTTAAGAGCACGGTTTGAGTCCTGGATTCAGCAGCTTGCTTCCTCACTTTCCCTCTCATTCTGTCCCTCTCTGGTCAAATTAAAATAAATAAATAAAATAAATAAAGTTCAATAATTCTTTTTTTTTCTTTTTCTTTTTTTTAAGAGGTTTTTGCTATAGGGCGCGTGCGCTTGCCAGACAGACAGAGAGAGACAGAGAGACAGAAAGCAAGAAATCACCCCTCCAGGGGCGATGGCCACGCCGCAATCCCTTCTCCTTCATTCTCCTCTAGGGATCTTGGGCACGCACACACACACGCCCGGCATGAGTTTTAAGTCACCGGGTCCGGGACGCGAACCACGGTTGACTACTTGGGAGTCCAGCGACATAGCCATCTGCTAACTGCTGGTCCCAATAAAATAATTCTTTAAAAAAAGAAAGACATAAATACCAAAGGGAGTTAGGAATGAGCAATGCAAATTATCAAATAAGTACAACAGGGACCAGCAGGTGGCATGGTGGTTAAGACGCTGGACACTCCCCATCATCGACCAGGGTTCGAGTCCTGAATCTGGTGGCTTTCTTTCTCACTTCCTCTGTCTCACTCTCATCCTCTGTCTCTCTCTGGTCAAATTAAAAAAAAAAAAATCAATGAATAAATAAATAAAATAAAGAATTATTTTAAAAGATAAAAAGTACGGGAACCAGCAGTTAGCGTAATGGCTATGTCGCTGGACTCCCACGTAGTCGACCGCGGTTCGCGTCCCGGACCCGGTGGCTTGAAACTCACGCCGGGCGTGTGTGCGTGTGTGCCCAAGATCCTGAGAGGAGAATGGAGGAGAAGGGATTGCGGCGTGACCATCCCCCCTGGGGGGTGATTTCTCGCTTTCTGTCTCTATGTCTATCTCTGTCTGTCTGGCGAGCGCACGCGCCCTACAGTGAAAATCTCTCAAAAAGATAAAAAGTACAATACAGAATAAATGATGTTTAAGCATTAAAAAGTAGAAGTGCATATTTTCTGTACCTCTACATTTTTATCAAAATTCATTTTTCATTTTAAATATCCTTCTATTTAAGTGACAATTGCTTTGACTAAAGCAAAAGCTAAAGTGCTAGTCCATGCATTTCTTGCCTTTCAGATCTAATTGGGTGACAAATGGTTGCATTATCTAGGTCTAATTGCTTCAAAGCATGTGACAGATCAGCTGCACAACCAAAGACATGTTCTTACTCTGACATTGCTTCATTTGGTTCAATCATCACGTTATCTAAAAGAGAACAAGGAAAAAAGCCTCAGTATTTAATTGACAGTGATATTCCTAACATAAATTTCTAATTGGCACATATGTAGGATTTTGTGAAAGATAGGTAATATAATGAAAGATTTCATTGCTAAGTCACTTAATTAGATCAAACTATTTCATTGTTTTTAATATTTAGGACAACATAGTGGTCAAAGACATTGTAAGTATTAAGTCATTTATCCTGTGGATCAAACACTAGTAACTTGCCATTCTATTTTTTGGAGTCTAAATAGAAACAGAAATTTAAAACTGGCATTATCATCATTTTTTTACCTTGAGGTATTAGAACGATTTACTAATAGCCTTTTCATAAACATTGCTATTATTAAGACTACAATGCAATTATATGCTAAAGTCAGTTCATTAAAAATTATGGTAAAATAGACACAATGCATCCTAAAAATCTGTTTATATACTTTTACCTTTGCAGCATCTGTCTTATCTGAATAATTCCTACAAAAAATGTAATATTTACTTTATAAGTATCTAACCACTTGCATAAATTAAAAAAAATATTTAAAACTAAGATCTCAGTCTGTCAATAGGGTAATAAATAGGTGTTTTCTTTTTGTAATTACTAGCATTATTTCCATTCTAACTGCAAAACCTCATTCTTCTGAATTAAAAAATTAAAATTAGGTTTTCAGGACTGGCAGGTTGTGTGGTAATTAAGGTACTTGTCTCCCACATAAGCCGATTGTTGTTCAAGTCTCAGACCTGTAGGCTTGCTTTCTTACTTTCTGTCTCCCTCTCTCTGGGGAGTGCATATGCCCTATAACAAATTTTAAAATAATAGTAATAAATATTACTATTATTTTAAATATTATTTTATTTAATTTTATTTATTATTATTATTATTATTTCCACATGAGTTTTGCCAGAGAAAGACTGAGAGAGAGAGAGAGAGAGAGAGAGAAAGCAAGCTGCCTGGTCTGGGACTTGAACTGTGGCCAGCCATGTGGGAATTCCAGCATCTTAACCACCACACCACTTACTGGCCCCAAAATTAAATAATTCCTTTTTAAAAAAAAAGAAATTAGGTTTAAAAACCCTAGAATTAGGGGCCAGCAGGTGGCGTGGTGGCAAAAGGTACTGGACTCCCACATGGCTGACAGCAGTTTGAGTCCCAGACCTGGAAGCTTGCTTTCTCACTTTCCCTTTCTCACTCTCTCTCTGAGTTCCTCTCTTGTCAAATGAAAATAAATAAATAAATAAATTTAAATAAGTAAAAAGTAATTCTTAAAAAAAAATTCATAAAACCCTAAAATTAACCCTTCCCTTCTTTTCATTTCACCTTGGAATTTATCTAAAAAGAGTTATAGGAATACTATTGTAGAGAAGAATGAAGCATCTAATTCTCAGTTATCTTTTTGGTTTTACACGACTTGGACACTAGATCTGGATCAAAATACAATCAACAGCAGGCTAGGGCCTCCCCTTTCCTACTGAACTGACTCTAGAATCTTAAAGTAATATTAGTTAATTTTTCTCTTTTTAAGTTGCTATGGGGCACATGCACTTGTCGAAGAGAGACAGAGAGAAAGAGAAAGTGAGAAAGCACCCCAGGGGGTATACGGCCACACTGCAATCCCTTCTCCATTATCCTCTCAGGACCTTGGGCACTCACCCACACATGCCCAGTGACATGCTGGGTCCAGGACTCAGGCCATGTGGGATACACCTGCCCCAACAACCATGCCGCCAACTGGCCTTTAGCCCATGTTTATAACACCACTTCTTTTCCCTATGGCAACAAAACATACACAATATTATACCAAACTATATGCCAAACTATCTAGTTTACTGTCATGAAAAATACCTTTTAGGGTGTACATGAACAAGAACGAGATGAAAATTTTCTGTATATTTTTTTCTTCTTCCAGAGGACACGTGCTTGTTCACCAGGGAGAGACAGAGGAGAGGAGAAAGCACCTTCCATGGGGAATGGTCACACGACAATCTCTTTTCCTCCATCTCTGTGTCCCTTCTGGATTTGGGGCACACCTGTGCATGTGCCTATATGTTTTCAAACTGCAGGGTCCAGGACTTAAATGTTATGGTCTATTGTGTGGGATATGGTTAACCACCAGACCATGAAGCTGGCTGGAAGATAATGAATTTTAAAGAAAGCATCATTAAAGGAATACATATATGTCGAAATTGACCTCTGATTTTATCCAAAGATACATTTAAAAGTAATTCTTACCTCAAATTTCATGTGTTTATTTATACTTAAAAGTTACAGTGTTTTCTTTATAAAATTTTACCTAAGTTACCCAGTTACAGGACTGATTTTCTTATAACTTAGCTTTATATATACATAATTTATTCTGATCATAAAGAAAAAAACACAAACACTTAAGATTTTTTTCCAAGTATTGGAGAGGCAACACTTAAGTTTTTCATAACTAATAGTCCACTTGCTTCCTCTTCTAATACTTGTCCCCACATCTCAAGTCAGACTTTAAAAATGATTATTATTAGACACCTAAGGATTTCTGGAATATAAAATTCAGAGCCAAATGGTGGACAATAAATGGGAAGCTTCATAATTTATATTAAGCTTTTCCTTTTGACATCTGTCTCCTTCACATTGACTTGTACTTCTGTTAAAGTATTAGTACATAAACTTTTGCCTGAGGCTTTGCTTTCTGGAGAACCCTGAACAAGCTAGACATTAGGTATGTTATTAATTTGAAAGCTTGTTGAGAGCTAAAGTCTATCAGAAAAGCAAAGCATCTTTTTGGAGAAGACAGCTGGGGAAGATCAAACTCTAGGATAATGAAAGATTTTACTCCTATTCTCTAGAGCAGTAAAGCTCTGAAGCTGAAACAATGCAATAATGAACTAAGCTAAGTGGAACAAAAGAAATCTAGATGGCCTCTCCTGGGAGGTACTTTCAGGTCATAGATTTCCTCAGTCTGTGGGTACTACTCGTATGTGTGGTAGCTCTAGGATCTTCCTGCCTGGATGAAACAGCATTGCATATACTTCTCCTCCCATGTCCACCTGGTGAAAGGAAAATCTAGGATGGGCATGTCCCAGACCTTGGTGGAGACCCAGGTTCTACTTCGTTCAGCTTTATCATTTTCTAGGAAATGTCCATTTAATTTTCATTCATAAAATTGAATTCCTGGGCCAGAAGGTGGCATGGTGGTTGAGGCGCTAGATTCCCACATGGCCAACCCAGAGTTCAAGTCCTGGACCCAACGACTTGAAAATCACACTGGGTATGTGTGAGTGCGTGTCCAAAATTGCAAGAGGAGAATGGAGGAAAAAGGACTGCTGTGTGGCCATATCCCCTGGGGCGTGATTTCCCAAAAAACTCTTGTCTTTCTGGTGAGGGGATGTGCTCTATGGCCAAAACAAATGAATAAAATGAATGCCTTGAGAGGCAGTACAAACTATAATGTTACACAAGAGCTGGGCCTCTTGAGCCAAAGAGACGGGATTCACTTCACAGTTCTGCCATTTCCAGGTAAACCTGGACAAGTTACTCTGAGTGGCCAGAGCTGGCCTCTGAAGGAAAGACCTAGAACCAACTGTTGTTATATAAGCTTACTTTCAGGACACATGCACTCGAGAGGGCAGAAGGGCCTAAAGTTAACCCCACAGCAGGGGGAATGAAATGTTGGTTGTAATGGAATGAAATGGACTGAATCAGTTTCCAGGAACAGAACCAGACCAGAGTGGTGGGTGCCCTAAATTGTTGCCATCTGGGCTAGAAAGAATGTAACACTGGAAAGCCACTAGCACCAACTAGTCCTTTACTGGCAAACATCACTCCATCCCTGCTAATTGCTCTATAAAGACCCACCCCTTTGCACTGGGGAGATAGATCTGAGGTTTGCTCCTGTCTCCTTGCTGGCTGTCTGTAACACTCTTTGTTTCAAGACCCTGGAGCCTCAGTGATTGACTTTCAGTGTAATGGGCAGTGCACCTATTTGTTTAGTAACATTATTATTATTACTATTATTATTATTTTAAAATTTCCAGAGGATCTAGGTGTTTGTCAGAGAGAGAAAGAAATAGAAAGTGAGGGAGAAAGAGAAAAAGCACCTCCCCACCCCAAACCCAGGCATGGTCATACTGCAATCTCTTCTTCGTTCCTCCATCCTCTTGAAATTTGGGGCATGTGTACACAGGCGCCCAGTGTGTTTTTCAAGCCACCAAGTGCAGGATTCAAACTATGCAATTGGCTATGTGGGATCCGGCTCCCTTAACCATCACGCTGTGGAGCTGGCCCTACGTTACTTAACTTTTTCTTGAAGAATTATTTTATTTTATTTTATTCATCATCATTATTTTTTTAATTTGACCAGAGGTGGGGGGAGTGGGGAGTGAGAAAGCAGGTCATCAGGTCTGGGGCTCGAATCATGGTCATCCACATGGGAGTCCAGCACCTTAACCACCATGCTACTTGCTGGCCCCACATTACTTAACTTTTTAAAGTCTCTGTTCATCCACTTAAAAAATGGGGATCATGATGGTGCCAACTTCACTGGATTGTTATAGAATTAAATGGATTATTGTAAGGATAATCTGGGGGAAGTCTTAGCACAGAGTCTGGTACATAGGAAGGGCACTGTAGAAGAAACGTGATGTTTCGGACAAGCAGTTAGCATAATGGCTATGTCGCTGAACTCCCATGTAGTCGACTGTGGTTCGAGTCCCAGATCCGGTGGCTTAAACTCACGCTGGGCATGTGTGTGTACGTGTGTGCCCAAGATCCCGAGAGGAGAATGGAGGAGAGGGGATTGCGGTGTGGCCATCCCCCCGGGGGGTGATTTCTCACTTTCTATCTCTCTGTCTCTCTCTTTCTGGTGAGCGCACATGCCCTATAGGCCCTAAACAAAAACTCCCAAAAAAAAAAAAAAAAAAAAGAAAAGAAAAGAAAAGAAGAAAAGAAAAAGCTTGATGTTTTATCTAACGAAAAGCTGGGAAGATGTCCTTCAGGAC